TTTCGGACTTTGCTGGACATCTATGCGAAGATGCATTTCTTTTCATTGCTGGACTTCTACCTGACGCTGTCCTACTGATCTTCGTCGTCAGACTACAGTCCTTCCGACCTCCGTCGCCAGCCGACTACGGTCCTCCTGACTTACGTCGCCCGTCGACTACAGTCTTTCCGACATCCGTCGCCCGTTGACTACGGTCCTCCTGACTTATGTCGCCCGCCGACTACAGTCCTCCGTCGCCAGCTGACTAAGGTCCTCCTGACCTACGTCGCCCGCCGACTCCAGTCCTTCTAACAAAGTGAACATGTCAATAGCGATCCTTTGTATTTACATCATGTAATGTACTCCATAAGATATACATCAAGCTAAGACCTTCCACCAAGGAAGGGCCTCATTTGTAATCGACTGCAATACTAGTGGATTCATTCAAACTGGGCTAGGCCCCGTGGTTTTCCCCCTTTTATAGGGGTTTTCCACGTAAAAATCTTGGTGTCTCATAAATGCTAGACCCTCTCTCCTTATCTGATTGCGTGCCGGATTTTCGTACAATGCTAAGACGTTAAATATGATATTTCTCTACCGCCGCTAATACTCCTGGACGCAACAAGAATAAATTTATATATACAATATTTTGAAGCTTTAATTGAACTAATCATCCCTCAAGGGTGCCGTGACATCAAAGTATTGGGCACTGCGACACTAAGAAAAATATTAAATATCCAAATTAACTATTTGCATGCAAACTCTATTAATTTTCAACAAGTGAGGGAGTGACTAGAGAGAGAAAGGGAGAGGGAAAGACATATTTTAGGGAGAGAAAGTTAATTTTGGGGGTCTTTAAACTGTTTTAGCCTACTGGGGTAGTTAAGAAATTTATTCGGCTCGAGGTATGTTACCATTGCCCTACCTTGGTTGTTAGTAATTTTATCGTATGTGAAAGTTATTGTAGCTTATTTTTACAAAAAAAAAAAAAAAATTGAGGTATCTCGATATCCAGGTATATTTCACTGTTTCAATTTTGGTATGTTGTTGCCCTAGTTATTCTGTACATATAGGTATAATTATTTTAAATTTTGATCGAGTATTTTTGAATGCGTGGCATTTTAGGTATTGTGAAAAATTTTCAAAATGTGATAAAAATTCACATAAAGTACTAAGAACAATATTACAAAGATGTACATATTGTAGGTAGCCATATTGTGTTTCTTGCATACAAAATTAAGTATATTGATAAATCTAGTAAGTTCTACTGCTTCCCAACATTGCAAATTGATAGAAACTATTATATACTAGTGTAAATTACTAATTCAATTATATTGATACATTACAAAGCATTTATGCAAGGAAATGTTGTATGAGTACAAATTGTTATGATTTATTTATAAATAAACATTGGGAGGCATAAGAGTTTGATTTATTGAATTGTGTTATGTATAAGCTGGAAGCAGGAGGGCTTGATATCATACATGCGATGTATGTGGGAGGCATAAGGGTTTGATACTGTGTATGTGGAGCATTTGGGGTTGTAGGGCATATGTTAAAATACTTGAAAGGCATGAGAGCATGATATTGTACATGTAATATATTTGGGAGGCATAAGAGCTATATATTGTACATGTGAAACGCTTGGGAGACATCGAATATGTGAAATATTGGCCGGGGAGATATAAGAGCCCAATGAAAATATATTTTATTGATGTGATATATTTTATTTTAATGTAATGTGCTTTGTTTTAGTTATCTTTATAGTTCAATCTGCCACACGTCTTTATGCTAAATCTCAATATTGACATTGGACTTGATATAATAAAGTAATTGATATATTTATGCATTGTGTTCGTACTATTAAGGTGATGAACTTGGTCCCAAAAGTTCTATAATTATAACATGTTTTATGGTTTCCTCAATGATAATAGAATAATTTGTTTATTTACTGTCCTCTAGTATATTAAAAATTTAGGTATATTTTGGATAATCTACTTAGCTGCTAGTGTTCATTCTATTATATATGTGTGTAAATTTTAAATGAGTGAGTTAAGTAGATATAGAGGTGCCAAAATTCAATTCACAGGTATATATGCTTTTGCTAGTTTTTTTTATTTTTGAAATCATGGGATATTTTTGATTTTAACATCATGTGATCTAAATTGAAAAGATGTTAATGACTTTAATTATTGTATTTTGATGATGTAGTGGTTCTATACATACATACATACATACATACACACATATACGAGAAAAAAAAAAGAATTCATTTTAATTAGAATTTGAGCATTATCTATTAGGCATCCGGCATGACATGACCTATCCAACAAAAAGTTGTGTCATGTTGGATCGTGAAAGATTCCTCTTATAATACTGAAGAAGATTCAGATGATGAGTTTAATGAAGTGGTTTAATCAAACATTAGTAGCTATGAGTTAGTTTTTTTTAATGTTAACATAAAGTACTTGAATAAAATGATTCACTACAGGAAAACACCATATTACCGGCGGACGAAATCCGCCGGAAAACATAGATATTCCGACGGAACTATAAGTTTCCGGCGCACTTTTCGGCGGAAATGCATACGCCGGTTTTGGTCGCATCGATAAATTATTTCTGGCGCAAGATTTGCGCCGGAAATTTCTCCGGCACAGTTTCCGACGAATTACCGGCGAAAAAATGGATTGTTGTCGACATTAAAAAACGTCTTAATTCTGGCGCCATATGCGCCGGTAATTAGCGTCGCATTATGCGCTAGACATTACCGGCGGATAAAATGCCGCAAAGTGTGCGTAGAAACCCCACGATTTCGCTTGCGACGCAAAGTTTACGCCGGTAATTACCGGCGCATATGGCGCCGGAACATGCACCGGTAAGTTCCGACAGAACAAAGACGACGGTACATACATACAATATCATCAACAAAAAGCATGCACCAAGGTACATCCTCTAGCAAATGTCTAGTGATAACAACCATGACTATAGCAAAAAGATATGGACTTAAGGCTAATCCTATATGTAATCCAACCGAAATAGGAAAAAAAAAATGAAAACAAATACCTTCGGTCGTTCTACGACCCTCCTTGGCGGCGCGCGACTAGGAAGGAGAGAGGCGGCGCGCGACTAGGAATGAGGCTCGGCGAAGTCTGGTGATCGTCGACGGCGAAGTCCGGTGACCGTCGACAACGTCTAACCACGGCGAGCGACGAACGGCGACGGGCGAAGCAGTCGAAGTGAGAGAATGGAAGGAAACGAATGACGGCCAGAGGGGTTCGGTTTCGGGAAATAGGGCTTTTACTGACGGAAGTTCCGCCGGTTTCGACGCTAGTGACGCCGGTATAATTTCCGACGCATCATCCGTCGGTAATATTTCGTTGAGTTTAAATACGCTGGCGCAATGTCCGCCAGTAACGTACGCCAGAACTGTTCCGCCGTAACGTGCGACGGAAATGGTTCAGACATTCCTATACCGTCGGATTGGCCGGCGGAACCGGCATCGGTAAATTTACGGCGTATTTTGCGCCGGAAATGTTGCCGCAAAATTTTCGTCGAACAATTCCGCCGTTGTCTGCGCCGTTATTACCGGCGCACAATTTTCCGCCGGAAAATTCGACGGTAATCGCATGTTTCCCCGTAGTGATTTGTATTTATTTCATGGAACATAATTTCTAAATCTTGAATTCATTTGGATGGGATTTAAGGTGAACACAAATAGAGGGTTAAAACATGTTCATGAAACCGTTAAAAAGGTTTGGACTTTGTTTAAACCCTATTTGAATTAGTTTTTCACATATTTATAAATTTCTTCATATTGTATGAACTAGACTAGACATGATTCAAATCTTGCTTATTCAGGTTCGAACAACGTTCACTAGGGTTCGATAATTGATCAAATCTATTTAATAACACAAACTTTTTTGCCTACCCTTAAATTCATCCATCAAACTCCAAACCCTAAAATATTAGAATCGATATTTACAACAGTTCAAAAAGTTGGATAGGCATGGATGGGCATATCTCCTCGCCTTATGGGGATGCTGGGATGAATTGGATGGTATGGGATGATAACTTTCAAGAGTTGTATAGTTTAAATGCGAGTTGAATTGTTCAAAAAGCTTTTTCTCATTATGCTGGGAAACGTTGGAGGTGGAAATCGAAAAGAGGTGGTTCTCTTTGCTTTCTTCTTGTGCTAAGTGTGGGTGTTTTGGGTTGTTTTGCTTCTGCTGTATGTGGGGTGCCGGTTGGTGGCCTTTGGCTTGGTTGGTCGTGCTATTTGGTGGTTTGGGCTGGGTCGTTGTGTTTTCTTTCCCCTCTATGGGTTGTGAGGTTTTTGATGGTTTTGTGGTTGTTGCCCTTTATTTGCTTATGCTTATTTTTGTCCTATGTTTTTTTATAGGTAACTTTTCTTGGTTATTATGGCTCTTCCTTTTGATTTTCCTTATTGCAGGGTTCTGCCCTTATGATTGGTTTTGTCCTTTGGGCTGGTTCTGATTTGTTTGTTTTTATTTCTTGCTTAATTGTAATAAATAGAATCACAAATTTTTAGGTTTTATTTCAAAAGCTGCAATTTTAGCTGAGCTTGTAGTTCTTTAAACACATATAATTCTTCTTTTATTTTAATTGATAGGCCCCTGCATGGGCTAAAAAAGAAATACATTATTTGATTTTTTTTAATCTGCCGTCAATTGGAGTTTTTTAAATAAAACAAAACTTTATTCTATTTGCAAATGCAGTCGGATAACCGGGCCAGCATTCGGCAGGCCCGCCAATCCCCTTCCTGACGTGAGTTTTTTTAATAAGAATTTTTAAGCTGTCAATGATATTTGGCTGAATATTATTTATTTGATTCAATATTATTGGATTTAAATACAGTCAAGGCCAAAGCCATATTTTGTCAGCCTGTAAGCATTAAGCGTCGGTGGCGTGGCAGTCACTGCCCAACGAACGGGCGAGCGAGGTAGCGACGAGAGAGACAAGAGCATGGACTGGTCGTCGGCGAGGAGGAAGTGTAACGGCGAGGATTTTGCCGGCTTACTTCGGAAGTCGTGGTACCATCTTCGTCTCTCCGTCAGGCACCCCAAGAGGGTTCCAACGTGGGACGCTATCGTGCTTACGGCCGCGAGTCCCGAGCAGGCCGCCCTCTATGAATGGCAGCTCGAGCGAGCCAAGAGCATCGGCCGCATCGCCGAATCCACCGTCACGCTGGCCGTCCCCGATCCCGACGGCGCCCGCATCGGTTCTGGGGCCGCCACTCTCCACGCCATTTCTGCCCTCGCTCGCCATCTGATCCGTGTTGGTCTCATTTCTCCCCAGGTAATGTCGACATTAATTCTTTCTTTGAGAAATTGTGTCATCTTATTTTGATTTTGATAATTTGGTTATGGAAAGAGAAAGCTGCAGTATTAGTTTTGAAGATCACACCAACAAATTTTGAATGAGCGAGGAGAATGTGTGAGGTTGGCTGTGGGTTATTTTACTCGTTCTTGTTCCTTTGAAACAGGCACAAAAATATAATGCTTTCAAATTCAGAATGAGAGTGGGCAACTCCGCAGATTTGATTTATACTATGTAGAGAATTTAATCCTTAATTTCACTTATCATTATTCTTTTCAAACAAGAATGGAAATTAACAATCCAATAAAATTTTGGTGAGGCTTATGTATGTATATGTGATTTATGCTGTGGTTGAGACCTTAGTTCTTTATTTTACTTGTTCTTGTTCCTTTAAAACAGCTTCATAAGCTTTTCATCCTACAAATTCTAGAGTCTTAGTTATCATTGGTTAATTGTTAATTTATCTTGTTGTTAATGTAGCGTGAACACCTGATAAAAGGTTTTTTATTTGTTTACCAATGTTTGAATTGTATAAATTAGTATTATTTGTTTCAAAATTGTCACCTTTTCTTGACCACCTGTGTGTATGTTATGGATTTCAGTTTATATGCATTTTGTGTAGTTATCAAATAACAAGGATGAGAATGCAACAGCTTCAACAAATGAGTTGACCAATGATAATGAAGCCCAGGCGATTATAGAACTTTTTGCAAAATGGAGTATTCTAATGCTTCATGCTGGGGGTGACTCTAAGAGGGTTCCATGGGCAAACCCAATGGGCAAAGTTTTCCTCCCACTTCCATATTTGGCAGCAGATAATCCTGATGGCCCTGTTCCACTACTTTTTGATCACATACTTGCAATTTCTTCTAATGCAAGGCAAGCTTTTAAAAATGAAGGTCATTCTACACATTATCCTTCTTTACGATGATGTTGCTAACAAATCTAAAATTATATTGCATACTATTTTTTTTTTCTTGAAGCATCATCATTTTTTTGTTTGTTTTTTGGCATTGAAATCATACTTGCTTATGCTTAGAGCTTAGATTGTAGACCATTGTTCCAATGACAAAACATTTGTATTTTGAAAAGTGTTTTCATTAAATAGATTCGGATAAACTGTTCAAAGTTTTCATTCAACAGATTTGGGTAGAGTGAGGTTTTGTATTGATGCTGAATCCTTCTTTTTGCTAAGAACTGTCAATGTATGATTTGGAAGGTTTTTTCTAGGTTAGCATTTTGTCTGTTTGTTGATTGACTTATTTTGTATCATTGAGCTAACCCATTGTAGCTTTCCAGGTGGTTTTTGCTGTTATGTAAAGGTCACTTTTCTGGTGATAAAAAGTTTTTCATATGGTGAATTTGCTAATTTCTTTTTCTGTCTACTCTCTTGATTGTCAACTGGTTTGATTGCTTTAACTGAATAATCAAAATCAGGATGGAATGCGTGCACAAAACTTAACAATACAAAGGAGGTGATGAGTTATAATCATCTGGTTTTTCAACCCGATCTAGAGCATACACAATGTAGAAAGTGGCAAGATTAGAGCCCCCAAAGGAAGCTTGAGCCCAATTGAATTTCGCAGCTCGTTCCAAAGCTGGCTCCAAATAAGTTACTCTCAGTTATATTCTCAATTTGACTATAATCAACACTACTTGGAATGTTTAGCCATCCATTTGGGCATGCTGGCTTACTTGACCTCATTCCACATGAGCATTTTATCCCTCCTTCGGAGACTTAGCCCTCTATTCCCCCTGTCGACTTTCACATGTCAGCTTCTTTTGCAATCTAACCCGTTTTTGGCACCTTATCCCAAAACTCACCTACTTGGTACTTTATTTTGAGAACTCAGGGACTTCCGTCAATAAATCTCGAGAACTTAGCCCTCTCCAAGACTCTCCCTTAGAGCTTGGTGAATTTAAATAGTTGCCAACTTCTTCAAATTTGTTTGCTCAACAAATTCATCCTGTTTAGCAACTGGGCCGATCAACGACTCCAAATCGGTGTCTGAGACTTTGTCGACATCTCCAAGTTAGCCCTTGTAGGAAGTCTGCCTCCTTGAGAATTTGGCCTCCTTTTTAGATGCTTTTTGAATTACGAGCTATCTGCTCAAGCTCATCCTCAATGACTTCACTAAGTTAGCCTCCTCGAGAACTTGATTTCCTATTACTGAGAACTTGGCCTGCGGTTGAATTGCCCAACTCAACCTTCTAGATGTATTCCCTAAGTTGGCCTCCTTGGTCTTCTTGGTCCCCTCTATGATTCCTTCAAGTCAGCCTCCTCTAGAGAACTTGGCCTCCATAGTTGTTTTGCATCTTCCTTAAGAAGTAAGTCCAACTCATGCCAGTCAGCCCAAGACATCTTGATATATCAAACCTCCAACACATGCCGCCCATGCTACCCGCATCACTCTTAGGTTCCCAAAATTCGATTTGTATATGATCATCCGTTAGCCACCACTTGATATTTAATATCCTCCTAATTTTAAATGTGTCTCATGTCTCTCTGCCATATCTTCGCCTTAGGAAGACAAACACTAAATGCTTCTTACATTCAAAAGAGTGACAATCCAATTCCTTCATGCTGCCTAATTATGCCAATCATTAGCCACCATGTCAACATCTCCTCAATGCTTGAGGCCTCCTATATACACCCCTCTTCTTCCTTCATTAAGGATTTTTTTTGCTCATTGGGAATTGAACTAATTTGCTCTTATAAAAGGAGCCTCTCTCCCTTTTTCTTCATCCTTTCCTTGTCGGTGCCAATTGCAAGGCCAAGGTGGACTTCCCTTGTAACTTATACATTTACAATTTCATAGTGGTTTCTTCTCTCTCATTACACTGTGGATGCATGTTACGAAGTCAAATCACAAACATACTAGCCTTTGTTACCATTCTTAGTTTAGCATTTAGCATTTTTCTCAACCTTTCTTCCGTTCCTTATCCATAGGAACAACGTAATACACCTTCAATACCAATCCATCGTCTTCTACTCGTGAGGCCCATCAATGTTGTATTCTGTAATCATTCGTCGAAGGCCTATCCCCTTGTTCTTCGCTTCATTATTCCTCTAAGACAGGAAGTATCTTTGGTCGAATGATCGCCCAACTTTTCTCTTCATTGTTGCCACCACTGACTCCCTCTACAGGCGCCTCATGGTGCCATTTGGGCCATGGGCTAGTTTTCATCTTTCTCTTTTTTGATGCTCTCTCTGAGACAATTAGGTATCGAAGGAAAATTAGCCTCAAAAGGAAAAATCTTGATGCTGCCACCAACGGACCAACCATCGATAAGCAACAAAAAGTTAGAAAACAATGACAACCATAACTAGGACACCTTTGTTGCACGTTGAGGGAGGCTTGTTAACATCACTACCTACCATCGCTCAGTTGCTGCCCACATCTTCAAGGTATCACAACTGCAGGCCGCCTAACATAGTACATTCCCTATCATTTTTTTCTGTAATTAGCAAGGAAATGAACAAATTAGATTGGCTGAATGTTATATTTTTTAAAAAAGAAATGTAATATTTTAATTGGATTCCCAAAACTTTCCACATAATACTTGTCAGATTTAGCAATGCATTGCCTTTTAATGTATCTTAGAAATGCCTCTATTTAGATTATTTTTTGTTTCATTTATACATAATGCATGATATAAAAAGAAGAAACCTGAGAAAAATAGGAGGATACGAGATTGGAATTCCCTCAAATTGACTAATTATAAAGGAAGAGACTTTGAAGGACCAAATTCTAATAATGAGGGAAGCATTGTAATACTCAAAATTTTGAAAAGGTTAAGTGTTAAAAAGTCCTAAATTTTATACCCCATTTTTTGCACTTTATATATATATACATATAGCTTATATGGAATAAATTATTAATTAATTAAGTGGACTTCAATATTACTTTTATAAAAATAATTTCACTGCTCATTTACTTATTGTACTGTAGCAAGAAAAGGAATTCCGGTTTTCCAACCAAGGTCACATGCAACAAATGATGAGAAAACGCAGGGTGGTGATTGCTTTTAAAACATTTTATGTATAAAGATATTTAATTATATAAATATACAGTAACCTAAGCACTATCATGCTCATTACCATTCCTCCAACCTTAATCCTCAGGTTAGCGAAATAGACAAGCCTGAGCTTTGGGATGGAGGAGAAGGAAAAAAAAGCAGAAGTTAGAGTTTTGAGTAAAAATCTGATTTTTCATTAGTTTCTCCTATGAATTGATTTTAAATCGAAGTAGTGAGCATTGAGGCTTATTTTAGAAGTAATTTTGAGGTAAAAGTCTGTTTGAAAAATTTCTTGGTTAGATTTGAGTTAAAATTATGAATGGAGAAATTTACATATATTTATTACAAATGAATTAGGTTTTAAGGTGATTGTAAAGAGAGTTGGTCATGTGGTCCATCTCCTTTTCGGTAAGTTATTTAATTTCTAATTCAATGAACAAATTTACTTTAGCCTTTAATATGTAAAATTTATAAGTTGAACTTGTTTATAAGCTATTAAGTATAAAGTTCTTTATATTGCAAATGCACATTTATATCCTACCAATTATGATTAAATGATTGTGCATCATTTTAAATTATGAAAAATATGACTGAAGCATTAGAAGCATATTAACATTTTATTAAAGGGGTTTTTACATACCTAACACTTAAAACCTCTCTATTTACTTTTCTAACACTCAAATTTTAGTATTTACTATTCTACCACCTAAAAACTCTTGCAATCATAAAAAATAGCACTCCGTTGCCTCCGTCAAAACCAAAACCCGAAATTTGTATTTAGCGCGGGAATCTCCTCTCTTCGTTGTCACTTGAGCAACTCTATCGCGTTTGAATCCCCTCGTCTTCTCCAGCACGTGCGAACACATTCCAACAGTGCAGTTCTCTTTTGCGAAACGTCCGAATAGAAGCTCCAACCCGATCGACATTTTGTGCGAACGTCCGAATAGAAGCTCCCTTTCACGAAACCCATGCCTCTCGTCTTCTCCAGTCCATGCGAACACATCACCACTCCCTCCCATCGGCTTATTCCTTCTTTTTAGGTATTTTATTTATTTACTATTCCATTATCTTTTTTTCCCATCTGCTCATATTATTGTTGTTGTCACACAGATTGAAGAACTTTAACAGAACAAGAGAATAAAATAATAGAGAATATGAAAAATTATTTAGTAAATAGAGAATAGGAAAAACTCATTGACGTGATATTAACTGTTTACATGCTTGTTTATGTTAATTGGATGAAATTTATTTCATTTATAACTGTACTCGTAGATATGGATTGCAATAATTTGGGCTCTATTGTCTTTAAGTATGGAGGATATTGGACTGGGATGAAAGGCCAAAACAGGATGAAATATGTCGGTGGAAGTCATAAAACTTTGAAGTTTGAGAGATGTGATATTATTTTGTTATTATTGAAAGAACAAATCGAAGCACTTTGCCAGTGGCTTAGGGGTTATGCCTACGACCTACACTATCATATTTATGGAACATTGCCTAAAATTTACATGCCGATTATGAGTGATACAGATGTAATGGACATGCTTACATGTTCCTATGATTACAATTGATTGGAGGTTGTTGTTATAGTGAAAAATTCTGAAGAAGATATGAGTAATGCAGATGACATTCATTATGGTGATATACATGATTTAAGTGCGAACAACATGGTGAACAATGATATAATAATAGATGAGTTGTCTGATTATTTCAGCTTAGGTTAAAAAATTACATTCTTTTTGTGTTGGTTTACGTTTTAAGAATTCATCAATTTTTAAACAAGCTATTCGATCCAATACAATTTTACAAAACTTTACTCTCAACATTAAAGCTAGGGGCAAATCAGAGTATTGCTACATGCGTATGTCGTGAATGTCCA